TATTGCTGAAGCCTGGCTTGGAGAATTTTGAGCATTACTTTACTAGCATGTGAGATGAGTGCAATTGTGCAGTAGTTTGAGCATTCTTTGGGATTGCCTTTCCTAGGGATTGGAATGAAAACTGACCTGTAAAAGTCCTGTGGCCACTGCTGAGTTTTCCAAATTTGCTTGCATATTGAGTGCAGCACTTTCACAGCATCATATTTCAGGACTTGAAATAGCTCAACTGGAATTCCATCACCTCCACTAGTTCTGTTCATAGTGATGCTTCCTAAGGCCCACTTAACTTTGCATTCCAGGATGTCTGGCTTTAGGTGAGTAATCACACCATCGTGGTTATCTGGGTAATTGTGATCTTTTTTAATACAGTTCCTCTGTGTATTCTTGCCACCTCTTCTTAGTATCTTCTGGTTCTGTTAGGTCCATACCATTTCTGTCCTTTATTGTGCTCATCTTGGCATGAAATGTTCCCTTGGTATCCCTAATTTTATTGAAGAGATCTCTAGACTTTCCCATTCTATTGTTTTCCTCTATTTCTTTGCACTGATCACTGAGGAAGGCTTTCTTATCTCTACTTTCTATTCTTTGGAACTCTAAATTCAAATATCTTTCCTTTTCTCCTTTACCTTTCGCTTCTCTTCTAGTCATAGCTATTTGTAAGGCCTCCTCAGACAACAATATGTCTCAATATATCCCAAATATTTCATCCCATATCCCATAAATATTTCATCAATATTTAAAAACTGACATATTTTACATCCTCTTTTTTTGTACTAAGTCTTTGAAATCCAAGAGTGTATTTTTTACAAAGCCGGATGGTAAATCTCAATTCAGATGAGCTATGGATATATTTTAAGTGTCATATGTGGCTAGCTAGTAGCCAGCATATTGAATGCTGTGCTAAGTTGCTTTAGTCAGGTCTGACTCTTTGCGACCCTGTGGACTGTAGCCTACCAGGCTCCTCTGTTCAAGGATTCTCCAGGCAAGAATACCAGAGAGGATTGCCATTTCCTCCTCCAGGGGAACTTCCTGACCCAGGGATCAAACGCACAGCTCGTGCATCACAGGCAGATTCTTAACCGCTGAGCCACCAGGGGAAGCCCAGCATACTGAATAGAACAGAGCTAACATGATTTAAAAAACACATAGAACTTAGGATATAAAAAATGATTGGTTTGATGGCCCTTCAGTATGTTCTAGTTGCTTTATCAAACATTGTTTTCTACCCTACGAATATTGTATTATTAGAATCCAAGCACTGAATTTTTCATTTACTCCCCATATCTGTAAAATGGGATTAATTTTTGCCCTGTTTCTGTGATTAATGAAACAAGTTAACCTTTCAAAAAATAAATTAATTTTAAAAAGAAATAAGTTAACCTTTCAATTTTCCTGAAGAGTTCTACAGTAAGAATTTTTTAATCATTATAAACAGAAAAAAAATTTCAGTGAAATAATAGTTATTTCCTCAAGTCAGTGTTTACCAAGCAGCATTTTGGTTTTATAAGAAAACATATGCTCTGGACTTTGCTGGAGGTCCAATGGTTAGAAATCTGCCTGCCCATGCAGAGGACATGGATTCAGTCCCTAGTCTGGGATGATCTCACATGCCACGGGGCAGCTGGGCCTACCAAGCCCATGTGCTGTAACTACTGAAGCCTGTGTGCCTAGAGCCCGTGCTCCATAAGAAGCCACTGCAGTAAGAAGTACTGCAAGGAAGAGAAGACCCTGCTCACCACAGCTAGAGAAAGCCCACAAACAGTAACGAAGATCCAGTGCAGCCAAAAATATATAAATTAAGAAAAGTATCTTCTAACCACAGTTAGTTTCAACTGCAGATATTTCAAACAAGAGGTATTATATATTAAGGCTTATATATTAAACTGGTATATAGTTTTTTAACTTATTTTTAATATGTGCCAAGCTGTACATATTCCCAAATTACTCATCTTTCTTTCTACTTAAAAGAGCTGGCAGTTTTAAAGGAGTCAACAAGCACTCACCTGTTGATGGCTCTGTTGCGGCTCCTTTTTCTTCTCCTCTCAAACTGCTCATCTTCTGAAGAGGAGGAGGAAGTGGAGTCGCTGCTGTGAATCGCATGCCTTCGCCTGAAGAGGGAGACTGAGATCATAATGGAGGAAGGCAGGAGAACATACAGTACAGATATCAGAAATACCCAGATGCCTAGTGATCCAAGTGTTCATCACAAAATCAATACAATCAGTGAAGTGAGCTTTGTTGGCTGAATCTTTTCAAGGAAATGAAAGACTTGGATAACTGAGAATGGAAAGATAGGAGGCTATAGGCATCACTAAGACAAAACATGGTCCAGGAAGAGTGACTTCTTGTCTTAATATAATTCAGGTATACTCAAAGAGAAGGTACGATAAAGAGGGTTTTAGAATCTTTGCGACTGTAATTTTAGAAAGTATTTTCAAGATTATACTATATATAATTTATATTTGGAAGGGAATCACCTATTTTGAAATGTCAAACAATATTAAAAGGGGAACAAGATAATTTTTTTTTCTTTAGAATTTTTAATGTAAACCAAAGGGGATCAAGAGGGATCAAAAAAGGTAAGACACAGTGAGAAAACAGATGCTATTTTATTTATAGTGTATCGTCAACTCTAAATTCACAACTGCCATTTAATGCTTGTGTAAATGTGGATGAATTACTCAACCCATATAAGCCTCTATTTTCCTACTTACAAAAAAAAAAAAAAAAGAGATAAAAATAATCAAAATCTTAGCCTGCTTGGTAGTATCAGATGAAGTGTTGAGTGTTACAAACTCAAAAAAAGTTTTAAAATCACTTCTACCTTTGGACAGTTGCAAACGACTCACAGAATAAAAGCAAAGAAATCTGGCTGGGAAAACTTTTAATCATTCTGTTGGCTCAGGGTGGACAGCATTTCCTGAGTCAGAATACAATCATGGTTAAGTAGATATGTCCAAAAATACAGACGTTCACAATCTATTATCTGAAAATTGAAGTCCAGAATCTTGTACCTAGAAAAACCCTGAAAACAAGTTTTTCCATTATTCACTTAGCAGCAAAAAATGACCTGAAATGTCACAAATGCAATTCACAATCTCTATTTGTCCCACTTACTATGATTATTCATATGTTTTGCTATAAAATTAATACATTTGACTATACACTGGGGGCCCAGACACACTTACAAATGTTAATGTTGCATATTATGATTGTTGTATATTTATTACCTTTGTAACTCTACCCCTGGCCACAAATCTGAATTCTGAAACATAACAGCCCCAGGGTTTTGATACTCCTCCACCATCCACCCACTCAAACACGCCCAAGACCAATTTTGCGATCTGACTGAAACTAAAAATATCTAGTACAAGTCTACAATTTTATATGAAAAATATTTTTAATACTACCATTAATTAATATTATAAAGAGACCCTCACAACTACAGAGTACACGTAACTGTCTGTGAATTCAGTAGGTATGCACATAATTAAGACTAACAATTAATACAAAGGACCAGTATTTACTGTTTCTTGTACCCAGCAGTTGACATATCTCATTTAAACAATTAAAACTCTTGACAAGTTGACAAGTTCCTATTAGTAGGCTCATTGTATAATCAGGGCCAATATGGCTCACAGTTCAACTAATCTGCTTAAAATACCAGAATTAGTCAATGACAGTGTCAGAATTCAAAATCTTTGTCTATTTTAAAAAAATGGTTCACATTCTGTACACTACCAGACTAATGATCTCCAGTTGTTTATTTCATAAATCAAAAAAGTTATAAGCAAACCACAAAATCTTGTGTACTGACAGTTTCCAATGTCTGATTTGCAAAGTAGGGATTACCTTTAACCATTAAAGTGCATTAATAAATGCAGCCAGTACTTAACATACACCAGGCACTATTTTAAGTGATTTACATGTATTAACTCATCTAATCTGCAGTACTATGAAATAGGTGCTATTGTCTCCATTCTACAGATCAAAATGGATAGCTTAAGTAACTTGGAAAAGGTCACTAATAAGTGGTAGAGCTGAATTCACACTCTAGGCAGTCCTAGCTCTTCAAAATTAACTACATTACAGAAAGTCTATTCCTTCAGTTGAAAAAAATTCTAAATACATATAACCCACGTTCACTCTTTTTCTTTCTTCCCATTTTACTAAGAAGTTTTGAAAATCTGACACAGACAGCACTGGACCTGCACTATGAACCCAACTAGAGCTTCTAGATAGAGAGGTCAGTTCTAGCTCCTTGACAACCAGTACGGTATACTTTGAAACACTGGTGAAGCAACTGTGCTATTTATGTTACCTTCTTGTTTAAAGGTGCTAGGTTTGTTTCAGAAACTGCAAACTGAGGCTAGAGAATAAACCTTAGATGATGAGAGGTTTGCGATCACAAGGAAGAAAGAAAATCCTACTTTAAGGCAGCATTTCTGAAGCTCTGCTGTGTAAGTGCGCCAAGAGACCCTTGGAAGATCCTGCATGGTGGCTCTAAGTTTCACTAAGACCAAAGTTCCAACGATTCTTTGGATTCGTGTGTTGTTTCCCTGCCTAAGCAGGATGTGAACTATAAACAGAGGCTGATCTCTTCAAGAAAAAGTAAAAAGGCTAAGCAAAATGACTACCATTAAAGCTGTCGGAAGAAATGAGATGTTAACTCCACCCTGACAAAGAAAATTGAGAGGGAAAAAAAAGGTTTATAAAGGGCTACATTCAAAAGATCTGGTAAAGGTGTAGAGAAACTGAAATCCTAGTACACTGTGGGAATGTAAAGTGCAGCAACTATCTTGGAAAAATAATCTGGCAATTCCTCAAAACATTAAATATAGTTAGTATCTGATCCAGCAATTTCATTTCCAGGTATATACCCAGGAGAAACCAAAACATGTCCACACAAAAAGTTAACACATGAATGTTCCTAACAGAATTATTCATAATAGCCAAAAAAGTACAAGCAACCCAAATGTACATCAACTAGTAAACGGATAAACAAAATATGGTACATTTATACAAAGGAATCTTATTTGCCAATAAAGAGGGATGAAGTGGGACTTCCCTGGTGGTCCAGTAGTTAAGAATTTGCCTGCCATTCTTGTTTCTCTTAAAAATGAATTTTGCCTTTGACCAAAGATTCGCCTAGGTAGGGATAAGCATAAGCATTGCTTCAATTTTCTGAGGTCTTGTGAGATAAACAAGATCAATTAAAAAAAAAAATTCACCTGCCAATTCAGGGGACATGGGTTCGATCCCTGGTCTGGGAAGATTTCACATGCTACAGGGCAACAAAGCCCATGCTCCACAACTACTGAGTCCTCGGGCTGCGACTACTGAAGCCCGTGAGCCTAGAGTCAACAATTATGTTACTCCCAGAAATATAAACCCATTAAATATGGGAGAAGAAATTAAATTTCAAAGTAACTGCTAGCCTCTCACTTCTGTTGGCTCAAACAGAGGCCTGTACTGTGAGTCAGGCAGCCGCCCTGGGCACTATGCTAATGAGGACTCCAGTACACACTACACTTTACTCTCCTTTTCTGAGGATCGTTAAATGTCACTATCAAAATACTGGTCTTTAACAATATCCTACAGGGCCCATGAAAAGTACCGACAGTACGGGCACCTCCCAAGTGCACTTTATCTCAGGCAGCCCCGACAGGTTGTCTTCTCATCCTCTATCCTCCGGGCTGTGGTGGTATGAGAAGGGATGAAGAAACAAGAAATCCAGAATGTACACTTATGATTTTGAAACTCTAAAAATGAAATTATGAAAAATATGAAATTCTACTTGTGTCCTGCCTTTTTAGGCTTCCCCTATAAGCTTCCTCATTCATGAACTACTATAATGCTACTATCACCCAGAAAATTTTAATGCATCAGAAAATCTTTTATTACTCGGAATAACGAAGAATTAATAAGAATTATCTCCTCAGACTTAAATATGACAGACAGACAAGTGTTAGGATGCAGAAGGAAAAGAAACCCACAAATAATCTTAATAGTCAAAGAAAATTAATGTTTCCTACTATGTAAGAAAAACAAATCTGAAAAATAGATCCAAAAAAAGACAGGCAGAGTTGTAAGAAGTCTAAAAGCTATATAACTTAGAATTTGTCACGGTTAAGAAAGTATGTCTGGGAAAAAAAAAAGAAAGTAAGTATGTCTGGGATAGTATGTGAAGACTATCACAAGACTAAACCTATACTCTAACTTAATGTGAAAATTAAATGAGACAGTCTATGTAAAATGCTTATACCAAGCCAGGAATACAATAAACACTGAAGTGAAAGTAGCTCTCTATTATTACTGTAGAACAGTTGAATAAACTACCTACCTTACCATGGCAGTTATTAATAATTCCTATCAGTGAAAGCAAAACCAAAAACTAGTCAGTAGTTGTGGGGAGCCTGAAGCAGTAAAGCCCTGAAGACACAGAGCTAACTCTCCAAAATACACAATTCTAGAATTCCATCCTGATAAACCCAATCTTAAGACTCTAGAATTCTACTCTAATACAACCACAATCAAGTCATAAATCAATCACTATTTCAGAACCAAACCTGTTCATTCGTTTACAATAAGGACTTCTTGGTCCCGCAGAAGATAATCGATATCTTGGTCTCGCAGGAGAAGCTGGGCCAGTATAAAATATTTTGGGCTTTCTTTGATGACGAGGTTCTAAGGAAAAAATTACATGTACATGACAAGTAAATATGTATAAACACAATTTTGCTCTTCATCTAAATACTTACAAAGGTGCTGTGTGTGCATGCATGCCAAGTGGCGTCAGTCATGTCCCATTCTTTGCAACCCTATGGACTGTAACCCACCAGGTTCCTCTGTCTGTGGGATTCTCCAGGCAAGAATAGTGGAGTGGGTTGCCATGCCCTTCCTTCCATGAAAATACTATTAATAGCACGTATCTACTAGAGTATATTTTACTGTTTGTGGTTTAAATCATTTATGCCTGCAAGGCTGCTATTGAAAGTGTGTGTGCAGGACAGACAACAACCAACAAAAACACACACTGACCATAAACAACCATTATGATTATCCTGATGCATAATGGCTAATTATCAGCCCTACATATATACACACACATATATAAACATATATGTATATATATATACTTTTAAGGGTTGAGGTACAACTTTAACATAAATCAAAAGTGGTCCTATTTATACAAGCTTATAAAATAAATTAAGTACAAAACTGTGAAAGCTAAAATAACTAAAGACAGACATGAAATTTCAAAATCACCCATTTATTTGCTTTGGTCAAGGCTAACATTTAATTTTTAAAAGATGCAATTTCTTAAGTCGGAAAGAGAAAAAGAAATACCGTGTAAAATTGCTTATTGTTTATCTAGAAAAATGGTACAGATGAACTTATTTGCAAAGCAGAAACAGATGCAGAGAGCGAACTCATGGATACTGAGGGAGTAAGCAGGTGATGGTGGGGTGTACTGGAAGGTTGGGATTGGCACAGACACACGACTATGCACAAAATAGATGACTAATGAGACACTATGCTGAGCATGGGGACTCTGAACCCAAGGCTCCGTGGTGACCTAAACGGGAAGGAGGTCTAAAAAAGAAGGGATACATGTACCACTGCTTCACTCTGTTACACATAAGAAACATAACATTGTAAAGCAACTATATTCCAATAAAATTAAAAAATATATACACACATACACACACACACACACACACACACACCCCACAAGGAGGAAAAGAAAAAGAAATAACTTCCTACACATCTTGGGTAAGTTATGAAAGACAACAGCCATGAGTATTCTGTAAAATGAAAACCTGAAAAATAAGAATGACAATGGAAAGGCAGTAAAAATAAAGGTAACCTAATTATATCTTCTCCTGGAAAAAACATTAATAGATATGTCTTACTTTCCAATGGAGCCTGATAGTAAACAGTAGCCTTTCTTTGTCTAAGATAGTATCGCTTCTGATTATCTTCTTCGACGTCCTCTTCATCTTCATCGTCCTCTTCATCGTCATCATCTTCCTCATCATCATCTTCCTCCTCCTCTTCATCATCTTCATCTTCACCATCATCATCTTCATCTTCTTGGTCTTCACCCTCTTCAGATGACTCTACAAATTAAGAAACATTTACTTTCAGGCTTCTCATCCAAATGTTAAATTTTTAACACAGGGGAATAGAAAAGACCCTCCTTTTAAAACTCATTTACTTCTAGATTGTCCAAAGAATCTTTAATTCTGCAACATTAAAGATTGAAGATTTTGAAAAATGAAGTAAAAAACTATAGAATAAAAAATAACTAGAGGAAAGAAAAAAGTAGTTTAAAGGCCACTGTCACTAAGTACCAAACTAAAGTTTAAAGTATTACTGTTAATTCATTAATATAATGAACTTCTGTCACTGAGTTACATGACATGTAGTCTACTTAAAGATAATGTAGAATACCCTCAGCAAACATTTAAAACATTTCAGAAAACAAATTTTCATTCAAGAAAACTTCTAAGAAATTGCAGCAATAAGTCCTAAAGAGAACAGTAAAACCTGGCATGAGGGTATAGATCAGCGAAAGAGCATTTAATGGCAGAATAGTAAAACTTAACTTTAATCAGTTTTTAACTAAAACAGGTAGACATATGTTATCTGTAGATATATTATTATACAAGCAAACCAGTTTCATCTGTTTTAGGGTTGTTTATTTCAAATATATCCCAACAATACACATTATCCTTTTATCTCCCTTACTTCCACTTTTTTCTCTGACACTATGACCAACTCCCTTATTTGTCACAAATTTGTCATGCATGTTATAGCTTCTGAATAAAAAGACTATATCCTACTAAATAAAATGCACTGAAATTCAAACCCAGAAGACAGACAAGAGAAAAGACTAACCGCCACTGCCTTCTTGATTGTCAGTTGTTTCTTCATCAGTTCTTTGAATATCTTTTTGTTTACCTCTTGTGTACATGTTAAGATTCCCCTAAAAATGTTTAAATAAAATCCATTATTGTTTAGTATGTTTAAAGTAAATACAGTAGGACCTTTCAATCTTACTTAAATAATGAAGATATTTCCAGTTATAAACTCTTACAACTCCAGTAATAACTCTAGTGACTGATAAAATAATTGCTGAATAAAATGAATAATTTAACCAAAAAAAAAGGATAGGGGCTACAGAAAAAAGGTTAAACTGGAGATTATGAAATCATCCCCTTAATGGGAGAATATATTTACTTCTTCTGTTTCATTAAATACCTCCAAGTCTTCAAATTTTCTCATTCGCCGTCTACGCTGCTTCTTCATATCATCCATTTTTTGAAGCACAGCTTCAGCAGTGCTTAAAAAAAATGATACAAACATAAGCTAAAATTGTAAAAGAGTAGTATATATATATTTTAAAGAGTAGTATATTTTTAATAACTTAATTTTTCTTCCATTGTATTCTTCAACTGCTGGCATTTTAAATATCTTTACAAGAAGCACTGATTTACTACTATAAAAATTTTAGCTATTCTTTATAAGAATTTAAATACAAATATAGTTAAATGCACATACAGAATTATTACAAAGTCCTCTAATGATCACTTTCTACTTTACATAAACGGAATGCATTTAATATTCATGCTAGTCAAAATTTAGTCCCCAACTCAAAAATTTTTGTCAGCTAAATCATCTTGATCTAAGTGATGTTTACTTACTTTGTTATAAGTTTGTCAAACAGTACAGACTGGTTCACACTACCATAGCGGCTTCTGATCCTACAACTCCGGCGAACTTCAACATCACCGTTCTCTTCATGCAAGTGTTCTGTTTTTTGAACTATGTTTCTAGTTCTCAATGACCGAGTAACTGCAATTGCTTTGTCTTCACAGATGTGTACATAAAAGTAAACAGAAAGATTTGAAATAACAGCATTTATAAAACAATTCTAAAGTCAACAACTGAAGAGCTACACTTCCATGTAACAAAGTTTTAGTTTCTTGCACTTACCCATCTTGTGTAAAAATAAGCAACATACACCTGCCATAAGTCCAATCATGCCACTCTCAAGAGAAAACGTACATCTATAAATAATACAAAGGCTTGTATACAGTGTTCCAAGCAGTTGTGTGACAACCCCCCAAATGGAAACAACCCAAAACAAACGTCTATCAAATGACAGACAAACTAATTGTGAGCAACAACCTAAGTGTCCACCAGGAGGTGAGTGGATAAAGAATATGTGGAGCTGGGAATCTCCTGGTGGTCCAGTGGTTGTTACTCCACACTTCTATGGCAAGGGTCTGGGTTCAATCCCCGGGCCTTGGCTAGGGAGCTAAGATTTCCCAAGCTGCGTGGCATGTCACTGTCCCCACAAAAACAAACCCAAAAAACAAACCAAAATCCCCCACAGAACATGTGGAATATACACACAACAGAACAGTGTTCAGTCATAAGAAACAGGACATCCTGGCATCGGCAGTAACACGGATGGACCTTGAGGGCATTATGCTAAATGAAGTAAGTCAGAAAAAGACAAATACTAAATGACATCACTTATATGTGTGATCTAGGAACAGAGACTAGAATAATGGTTACAAAGGACTGGGTGGGGATTAAGAGAAAGAGGAAGATTGTTGGTCAAAGAATACAAATTTCCAGCCAAAAATGAGGAAGTTCTGGAGCTCTAACATACAGCTGACAATACTGTACTGGATACTTAAAGTTGCTAAGAGAGTGCAGCTTGAATGTTCTCAGCAGTAAGAGAAATGGTAATTATGTGACATGATGCAGGTGTTAGCTAAAACCATGACAATAATCATTTTGTAATATATGAGGATCGAACCAACATTTCTTGTACTCCTTAGATTAACACACTGTTATATATATATCAATTATATTAAAATAAAGCTAAGGAAAAAACTGTGGTATATCCATATAATGAAATATTACTGAGCAACAGAAAGCAACTCTGTGGATGATTCTCAAAGAAATTATGCTGAGTAAAAGAAGCCAGTCAAAAAGAACACATATTATATAATCCCACTGATATAAAACTCTAGAAAATACCAACTACTCTACAGTGGCAGAAAGCAGATTGGTGGCCACTTAGGAACCCTGGAGCATAGAGGGCATGGAGAGGAGCTGGGGAAGCCAGCAGTAATTATAAAGGGGCTTGAGGAAATTCTGGGAAGTGGTTATCTTTACTACCTTTTCATGGTGATGGTTTGACAGCACACACTTGCATCAAAACCAAACAAATTGTATACTTTAAATATGGACAGTTTATTGTATGTACCTCAGTATGCCTGTAAACAAAAACTGAATGTTTAAGAAACTTTAAATGCCTTTAACATTACTTACCTTCTTTGCACTCTTCTTTTTTTTTATCAGCCTGCTGTCTGGCCAACTGCCTATATTAAAAAATATATTAAATAACTCAAGATAATTGACATAATTTTAAATCCTGTATTTCATAATATTATGAACTAGGACAATGGAAAAATATGTTAATATAAGTTATGGCTAAACAAAGGCTAAGAACCCTGTTGTGAAATTCAATGACATACAGTTGTCCCTCAGTGTGAGGAAGGGATTGGTTCTAGGGTCCCCCGTGGATACCAAAATCCAATGATGCTTAAATCTCTTATAATTTGCATATAACCCATGTCTATCCTCTTGTATACTCTGTCATTTCTAAATTACTTGTAATACCTAATACAATGTAAATGCTACATAAACAGTTGTTCAGTTCAGTCGCTCAGTCATGTCCAACTCTTTGCGACCCCATGGACTGCAGCACACCAGGCTTCCCTGTCTATCACCAACTCCTGGAGCCTGCTCAAACTCATGTCCATTGAGTCAGTGATGCCATCCAACCATCTCATCCTCTGTCATCCCCTTCTCCTCCTGCCTTCAATCTTTCCCAGCATCAGGGTCTTTTTCAAGTAGTCAGTTCTTCCCATCAGGTAGCCAAAGTATTGGAGCTTCAACATCAGTCCTTCCAATGAATATTCAGCACTGATTTCCTTTAGGATTGACTGGTTTGATCTCCTTGCAGTCCAAGGGACTAGAGAGATCAAGGGAACATTTCATCCAAAGATGGGCACAATAAAGGACAGAAATGGTAGGGACCTAACAGAAGCAGAAAATATTAAGAAGAGGTGGCAACAATACAGAGGAACTATACAAAAGATTCCAATGACCCAGATAACCATGATAGTGTGATCACTCACCTAGAGCCAGACATCCTAGAATGCAAAGTCAAGTGGGCCTTAGGAAGCATCACTATGAACAAAGCTAGTGGAGGTAATGGAATTCCAGTTGAGCTATTCCAAATCCTGAAAGATGATGCTGTGAAAGTGCTGCACTCAATATGCCAGCAAATTTAGAAAACTCAGCAGTGACCACAGGACTGGAAAAGGTCAGTTTTCATTCAAATCCCAAAGAAAGCCAATGCCAAAGAATGTTCAAACTACTGCACAATTGAAATCATCTCACACACTAGCAAAGTAATGCTCAAAATTCTCCAAGCGAGGCTTCAACAGTACATGAACCGAGAACTTCCAGATGTTCAAGCCGGATTTAGAAACGGCAAAGGAACCAGAGATCAAATTGCCAACACCCACTGGCTCACAGAAAAAACAAGAGAGTTCCAGAAAAGCATCTCCTTCTGCTTTACTGACCACATGAAAGCCTTTGTGTGGATCAGAACAAAGTGTTGTTAGTGAGTGGTAAATTCAAGTTTTGCTTTTTGGAACTTTCTGGAATTTTCGGTTGGAAAATATTTTTGATCCACGGTTGACTGAAACTGCACATGCAGAATCAGTGGACACAGAGGGTCAACTGTATGCATTAAGTCTTAGCTAAACAGAATTAATCAAATCATAGTATCTTACTTAAAACATGAAATGAAATCCTTAGAGATAAATCCACGAACCTATGGTCACCTTATCTTTGACAAAGGAGGCAAGGATATACAATGGAAAAAAGACAACCTCTTTAACAAGTGGTGTTGGGAAAACTGGTCAACCACCTGTAAAAGAATGAAACTAGAACACTTTCTAACACCATACACAAAAATAAACTCAAAATGGATTAAAGATCTAAATGTAAGACCAGAAACTAT